ACCTTTTTTCGTCACTCAGTATATATTGAACATTCCATTTAAAACAATATATTTTTTAGCAGAACCTCAGTTATTGAGGAAAGGTATCCAGCGGCCACGATATTCAGTCTCAATCAAGCACAGACGTACAACCACATAATTTCTCAACGGCACATTATTCCAGACAACCCATACACAAAATGAATAATTTCGTGTGCCAAAATAAATTACATAGAAATAGTACAAGGTTCGTTAGTCGGAAATTTATTTAAAATATCCAACCTGCTTGTATAGTTGAACAAACGTTTGTTTTTATTAGTTTTATTTTTGAAAAATGTATGCCTGGATTCTGTCAAGCTAATGTCCATATGACAGCGGCGTAACATGGGTATACAATTAGTTGGAAATATATACTAAGTGACATATAAATCCGAACTCCCAGTTTAAATGGTTTTATTTTAATAAAATTTTGTAAGTACTTAATGAAGCATAATAAGTAAATGATAAAAATTTCAAAATGATTGCACTGCTTTAAAGCCCTTTGACCTTTAATAATGTGTGGATGCACCCTGATGTGCTAGGCATTCTCCAACGCGAATAGGCATGCTTCTGATCAGGTGGTCAATGTCCTCCTGTGGTATCTCATTCCAGTTAACCACCAACTCCTCTCGAAGTGCTTCTAGAGTCTGAGGAGGACGTTGCAAATTGAGCAATCTCCTACCTATCATATCCCACACGTGCTCAATTGGGGATAAGTCGGGAGATCTTGGTGGCCATGGTAACAATGTGACATCATTATGTTGAAAGAAGTATACTGTGACTCTTGCAACATGTGGTCGGGCATTACCTTGTTGGAAAGTTGGATCTGCCAGGGTGTCAAGATAGGGTAAAAGATGGGGTTCTAGAACTTCGTGGATATAACGCTGCGCGTTCATGTTACCTCTGATGAAGATTAAAGGTGACCTGGAACCATAAGCTATAGCACCCCAAACCATAACTCCAACAGTGTGATGAACATGTCTTTCAACAAAAAACTGTGGATTCCTCCTTTCACCACGTCGCCTTCTAACCCTGGCACGACCATCGTGCATGCCTAAACAAAATCGAGACTCGTCACTAAAGACAATACTGTTCCATTTCTGATCCCAGAGTGACCGTTGTCTGCACCACTCAAGGCGATTACGTCGGTGTTCTCGAGTTAAAGAGAGGACCCAGTGTGGCCGGTATGAAAACAAGCCAAAACTTCTCATTCGTCGGTAAACACTTCGCATGCCAATAGGTCTTCCGTGTTCTGCAAACCATTCATTTGCAATGGACCTGGTAGTGGAGATACGGTCCCTTAAGGCCAATAATCTTAGGCGGCGATCTTCACGGTCTGTTGTTCTATGGCGGCGTCCAGTGTCCCTTGCTCTTTGCGTACGGCCTTCTCGAAGCCATGCCTGACAACACCTAACCACAGTATCTACACTTCTTTGCACTCCAACTCCAATTGCCCGAGAAGAAAGTCCAGCTTCCCGAAGTCCCACTATACGGCCCCTATCAAACTCACTAAGTTGACGAAATCGTACAGGTCTCCGTACTCTAGGCATCGTAACCGATCGTAAAGGATGTCAAGAACCAAAATTCGCCAACGTTGATTCTTTACTACGGCTGAAATATTCATTTTTAGAGCGTTAGTGAATTAAAAAGAAGCAGTATAAAAACCGGAATGTCCAACTGATAAGGCTGAAAATTTTTTCACTTATTATTTACAGTAAGATAAATACATTCACCAACTTTTATTAAAATAAAACTATTTAAACTGGGTGTTCGGATTTATATGTCACTTAGTGTAGATGAATAGACTGGTTTAGTGTAATAGTAAATAGAAGTGGTGGGAGGGCGAACCCAGGCAAGTAGGCAACCTTTGGCTTTTTTCCCAACCCCGAGTGTATAAACACTCTGCTCCACATGTTAGTTCACTAATCTATCGAACATTCCTGACCTTATTGGTTATTTGTTTGTCCAACAATTCCGCTGAGTAAGCAACTCCACCATCAAACTGCATTGCCCAGAATATCTCAGCCCTTAGACTGCAATATACAGGCAAAAAAATAGATCTCTTCAAAATGAATTCAAATCAGCACTATGGTTTTCATCATCGTAAGTCAAGTTGTACCGACTTGATGCTATAGAGTAACTATTTGGGCAATTCAATTGACCAAGGTCAACAGGTAAACTATTTATTTGGATTTTTCTAAAGCGTTCAATCGAGCTAGCCATTCGATACTATCGTCCAAATTTTACAACTACAGTGTGCAGGGTCAGCTCTTGAGTTGGAGTAATAGTTGCTTATCTGGTAGATCTTAGTTGATAATATATGGAGGGTGTACATCCCGTAGTATTCGTGCAACTTCCTTAATCCTGCAAGGTTCCCACTTAGGTCCGTTGCTATTGAATATATTTATTAAGGATGTGAGTTTAGTACGCAGTGAAATTCTTTTATTTGCGGATGGTGTTCAGATTTTTAGAATTATTGGGAACAAACATGATGAATTGCTGCAAAGAGACTTAGACCATATTTCTCATTGGTATGGATTGAATGTTTTACTTTTAAATGCCGCGAAATCTTTCAAAATTAGTCGATCTCCTCCTCCTATTACTTATTTTTATAGCATCAACGGTAGATCTTTACAAATTACATACCAGTTTAAGGACTTGGAAGTTATTTTTTATTTTCAACTGCGCATAGAAGATGTTAGGTTTTATAACTCGCCATTATATTGTATTGCTGCTCCATCTGGTCCCGAAGTTATAATTTACAGATCAACCAATTAGAGCGTGTGCAGAAACATTTTTTGAGAATCTGTGTGTTGACTTACGTTTCTTGCACAAAATTATCAATGGTCACATTGATTGTCCCCAACTGTTATTAAACATTTCAATTAATGTAAATGATAGGAGTACGCGACATACTGATACTTTCTTTGCCCCTTTCATCAAAGAGATTACGGCTTAAATTAAAACCGCTTTCTTAGGTTAGGTAATAGACACGTATCTAGTTTAGAAGTATTTGGAACTTCTATCTATATGTGTTTAAACGAAGTGTTAATAACATTACAAGGTAATTCTTCAATCACGACTGTTTTGTATCTCTAACAAGGGTTTTACCCGTTGATTAAATAAATAAATGACTCAGGAAGTGGAACGCTGTCTTGTCCCCTGCTCAGCACATGGAACAAGTTGGATCTCTCCTCACACTTAAAAGGGATGGGTATATTCAGTCAGCAGTGGCTAGTAAGAGCCCCCTCTGAAAGGTTGACCGATTCTCTACTTCTGTCCAGTAGCTAGATCAGGCTAAACTCTGAAGGGCAGTACTACATTCCTGAATTAAGGGCGACCTTGTCTTCGGCGATGCCACTGCATTCGAGGCCTAATCTCCCCTGAGTATACTACCATTAAGGTGGCAAATATCTCTCCTCTTTTTATTGTAGTCTTATTTTTTTTCTTAAAAACTTCGGAGTGGCGGATCACAAAACAAATTGAAAGCAATGTAATTTTGTTCCTAAAATACTGAAAACTAGCTTGTCCATCCTTATTTGTGGAGATTTACATACTTTTTCAACTTATAGAGTGAAAACAATACAACTTTTATGGATATTGTTAGATCATTCGGAATTGACGATTTCAAAAGATAGTGGAAAAAGTTGTTTACCCTTTAAACCTCTTGAAATAGCGTAACCAGTATTTTTGAAGAAAGTACATAAAATTTTACATTTGCAGTGGGAAATTGCTGTCATGTATTACTCAGTATCTTTGAAGCGACGTGATTGAAAACATATTGGACGAAATTTGATAAACCAAAATAGATGTCACTTGGAAAATTGCACACTCATTTTACTGCTTTTAAGAGGGAATGCGATATTTGCATTGAAGCTTTAAAAACAGGTTTAAAATGCTAGAGGCTACCATCTACGATACATCACTGAATGTAGGACTGAACAGTCAATTTAAATTTTCAAAATTTCAATATATCGCCCATAGTACGAAAAAACAAAATTGGTGATGGAAGTCGAAAGAAGAAATGTCGAATTAAAAATTTGAGTATGCCATCAGGAGAATAAGTAACAATGACAACATCAAATAAAGTCAGGAAAACATACTACTACTGCTACGCCAAAGACGAAAATGCTGTGTAGTTTTTGAAAATCACTGGCGCCGAAGAAAAATGCGAAGAACCAAAAAAAAAATGCTCAACGTTTTTTGTCGTTTCGGATGGTGTATCACAATTTTTCGATGTTAGTATATTAAAACAATCTCAACCCCGGTAATTCTTCGCACCAGTTAAGACATATTTCACACATCATAGATTTCGCCGTACTTTTACCCCAAAAACTGAAAATATTCAGCAGCCAAATCGCCTATCTGTCGCATATGCGGTGCGTCATCGAGTTTTCTACCGATAAGGGCAGGCAAGCAGTGCGGCGGTATACGCGGTGCTCAGAATATTATCTAAGTATATGAGGGTTATGCTTGTATGTGTAAGTGAATGATGACGTTTGTTCATTCTTCAAATAGTGCATTACTGGTTCTGACAAAACCAACGTCTTTTTTATGTCATTGCACTACATGAAAAATTGTACCAGAAGATTTTTAGAAGGCGTTGCGTTACGTACGTTTTCTTCGTTACTAAGTATAACACAGATGTACACATTTTAAATCTAACTACTGTTGAATGGTTTCCTCGGCTCACGAAAAGTATGGTTGAAAACTTAAAATCATGCAGCTAGTGAAAAAAGAAATTATTTAATTCTGGTTTCTTCTCTTATGTATATACAGTAGATTTATTAGAGGTAGCGGTGCAAAATAACGTATATATCCCTATAAGGACAACAAAGATAAGCCAACCAACTTACAGCTTATAGCTTCTCACCTCAACTGCGTATATACCAAGTAATAGGGAACGTTATTTTCTGCAGTATTTAGATTTGATTCTAGATCCTTCGCTTTTAAAACATTAACAGAAATGAAATTTTTTACAGAAAAAATATTGACGAGCATTCGGGTCTTCTGGATACAGGGTAAAAGTACAACATTTTTTACAGCTTTGCTTTTTGGGGGTTGTGGCGTAGGAGACCAATATTTGTTTCTTATGTAGCGGTGATGGACGATTACGAACACATTTTATTTGGTTTACACACTTTTAGGAATACAGTAGTTGGTTATGGTTTCTATTTGAAGCGGTGATGGTTTCTATTATATGCAGCGCTGGCAAAATTATTTACCGTCTGTTTATATTTTATTCAAAAAGTATGTTTTTCAAACTATGGAATGGCATTCGGTGAATCATCATTGCCAGCACGATATACTGGGCTTCATTGACTTTCACATCAAAAAATGAATGTGATATAGTGAAATACAAAATTTGCTGTATTAAGGCCCATATCGTCAGTCGTCCCTACAACTGTAGGGCGCGTTTATGGCCTCCTTGATTGTCAAAGTTTTCTACTTCTCCGTGTCAGAGCTCTATTTTGAGGTTATGTCACAAACATCTATTTGCATCAAATTGTGCTTGCTTTTGAGTTATATCATGTTTTACCAGCCTGAAATTTCCTACAATTTAAAAGGAAAACATATTTTAACAATAGGAGAGCACTGACGCTGACACGGGACGAGTGTAATCTAGACATTTTTGAAGGAGAGAAAAGAGTAGGACAATCAAGGAGGCCATAAACGCACCCTACAATTGTAGGGACGACTGACGATACGGACCTAAGCATTACTAGACCACTTGGTCTGTGATATTGGAGTGAATAGTGTAATGAGCTTATTTCTACATGATGTAAAATTTAGTAGTATCAAAAGAAAATATGATAAGAAATTTCTTGGTGTTCGAGATTCAAAAGGCCCACGGTATATCCATTTCTGTTACAATGGTATTCTATTATTTTCAGCTTCTCATTGCTTATGTAGGTTTTGTAAGCAATTTATCGATTGTTCGTAACTTTCTATAAACTTGGGCTAAGGTTATTTGGAACATAAAACTCAAGAGATCAGTATGTGAACATGAATTATTATTACATCAGAAAGTTTTTTCTTTGAAATAAGGACGTGAAGATCGAAATAATGAACAACCACCTATAAGAATTACAGGACGTTACAGAAAAACTTGAGTGGAGTACGTAAAAAAAGTTCATAAAATTCCATCTTTCCTTCTTGAGGGATGTTTAAACTAGTCCATTTTTATGTTTAACGGTTAATCGTACGCAACTATCTTTTCTATAGAAATAAGGTAGCACAAAGTGCCATCAAAATGATCTAGCCTTGTTCTGGGTGGAAATAGAAGGCACTTTGTGCTGTCTTATTTCGATAGACCTTATAGTCTGAAAAGAGTAGAGTTGATCAGCTTTTGCTCAGGTATTGTTACTAGTTTTTTGCAAAAACCAGTCGCGCGCTATTTTTCACTAAGCAAATATTGTATGTGCTTGTATGCATAACCCGTTTTCAGGAAATGTGAGCATTAATATTTATATGAACAATTTTCTGTAACACCTTGTGTAGCTATGTCTTGAAAACCTCGTTTATACAATATTTCGAAACCCTTGGCCCAAAAATATCTAACAAACTCATGGTGTAGGATATAACGCCGTATCAAAACGAACTTAAAATAGTAGTTAATGTAACCTAACTAATGTTAATGTTAAGGTCTCAATAAGTTCTGAAGTTAGATTAATTACTGTTTGATATATTTATTTAATGATCCGAATTAAACTTTGGCTAGTTGCCATGGATTAACGAATTACTTCGCACATATAGTGATAGTTAAGTAATAAACTAGGTTTATATAACAATTTTAAGTACCAGGCAGGATCGACAAAAATAATTATTATCGAGTTCAAAGCTTTATTTAGCCTTTTAATGTGAATAATTATTGCGATCATAAAACAATAACTATAAAAATACTGGAACATTGCTTAGTGATACCATGCACCACGGAATGGCCACCATTGGTTAACAGAGTCAAAAAAATATACTGAACTGCCAGATACGCGTCTGTTTCACCGCATCTAAAGCACTTTTATAGAGGTAGAGGTGAAATCGGCGTTAAGTGTATGAAATAATTAATATAAAACGGCTCTGTATTTTTTAAGTGAGGTATTTTTGAAAATGGTCAAGGTCCTTACGAGATGTTCAATGGTAACTTGGAAAAGTTGTTACAAGGTCAAACGTTTTTTTTTTAATTTTACTGGGCCAGCAAATATTGTTCAAGTATGTATAAAAATTTAAGATTTATTTAGAAGTTAAATGTAGATCTTAAAATAACCATGAAGGAGAGGTTCAAGGTCAAATCCAAACTCCTTGCCCAAAATTGATAATAACGGTCATTTCCAATAATACAATGATTCCTTTTTATAGTAGGAATGCAAGGTATGTTGGAATGATCACCAACATCTAAATCAAATCTACATACCACTACGTTCACGACTTTATCGATGCCTGACAACCGAGATTTTGTAGATGTGGATGTTAAAAAATGTAGGCCCTTGAGCTAATTCCATAGTTTTCACAAGTACTAGAAAGTTCTTGAGACTGTTCATATATCACAAGCTTAAATTTCTTTCTTAGGGTAGAATTTGAGTATGGCCACGGTTTACAGGAGCTCCATAAAACCTTTTTTTTTTTTCGAATCCACACAAAACTTGATATTTTTCTGTATCATTTCAATTTTCACCACAACAGATAAATCGACATATTTAAAAAAATTCCACGAATTTCCCTATAGTATTTACGTGGGTCGCATATAAAAACGTTACAGCAAAATCTATTCAGTTTTTGAGATGTTCATCAACAAAGCCATAAATTCGTTGTTACTAGGCATGTTGTGTGTGATTGTGCGCACGGAGGTCGATGAGAAATATTACCTCCGATTGCTGCGCTTGTCTCGCATTAACAACAATGCTGGAGGTTCCTGGATGCATTATATCCCTGACTATATCGCAAAAGCACCAAAACACAGGTTTACATAACAAAAGATGTAGTAGTTAGCACTCGGCACAAATGATTATCTACACCTACAAATCACTTTTAGGTCAAGCTACTTGCCAAAAATATACACTGTTGCGAAAAAATTGCACGGATGGAATCATATTCTTGACGGTAATGAAAAAGTATCCTCCATCTAGCGATACGACTGGATAACTATATTGCAATATATTAAACGTCAAAGTTGTAAGAATCACGTTTTGTGTTTTAATCTCCCCACCTTATTATTCCGAAAACTGTGCATTTTGGAAAAAAGTTTCAAATGAAAGTTGAAGGGTTGCGAGAGGGAAAAATGATGGTGACCTTGACTACAACCTACTAGGTCCTTTCAAGATCAAGTTAATATTTTCAAATGAAACCCCTCCTTTTTCACATCGGAATTGAAAAGCACATTGGGTTTGACCTTGAACACTGACTTCAATACAATTTCAAGGTCAAATCAAGACATCAAAAACGATTTGGTCTAGCAAAAATGTTAGGCAGTACAATTGTGAGGTTGACAATGACCTTGACCGTAACCAAATGCAAAAATCAAAAAATTTTACGTGCGAATGTGACCTTGACTTCAAATAGCAATCAAGGTTGACACGACCTTGACTTTGTGGGCAAAATCACATTCGGATATAAATTTTCCTGCGTTTTCCATTTCCATTTCCTTTCTAAAGGTTGACTTGACCTTGAAGGTCATCGTAATCTCCACAAACCTCTCAACTGAGCTCGAACCTGTTTGTTAAAGCAAATTGTTTTCGATGTATTGATTTAACCTTGAAATAGCTTTGAAGGCAATGATCAAGTTTATGACCAAGGCGATGTTCGGACGTAAAAATTGCCCCTCATTTCAATCTCGACGAGAAAAGCGAGGGGTTTTATTTGAAAATATTCACTCAACCTTGAAATGACCTTGAAAGTCGTAGTCAAGAAACTTGAATACCGAGGCGAATGTTATAAGCAGCTTAAAGACATCTTGTTATTCTGATTTTTGAACAACCTGATGTTAGTCGAACTGGGAAAAGTCACCTCAGGAGAAATGTTCCACAATATCGTACTGGCCTGTTGTGGATGTACGAAGTTCGACATAGCCAGGATGAGAGCAATAGCCTGGCGGATCCGTCGGGCAGGCTCAACATGCAGAGGCGGAGCCTCGTGGAGCAAAGTCTGTTGGCATAGCGATAGAAAAAATCCAGCATGAAAAGCGCCTAAGGTCCTCTGTTAGAATCGAAAATGAACAATACAATAGGAGTGGCAGCACTCCAAACATGTGAGCAGTACTCGAGGCTGCGACTGATCTGAGCCTTGTACAGAGCGCGGATGTCTAGTCCTCGGTAATCTGGACTACGACCATCCGAAACGAAATACTACCAGCCATCCGTCGAAACCAAATATATGCTAGGGCGCTTCCGAGTACTCAATGTACAGTTCTGGGTTTTGGAAGTACTAAACTGTACCAGATTGATGTCTCCGCTCACAGCGATAACTTCCAAATCTCTCATCAAAGAAATCGCTTCTGGTTTTCTCTCCAGCACACAGGTAGAGATCTGTTAGGAAATCTAAATGTGTCGTTTGGATTGATTGATGATGTTACATTAACAATGTGGAATGATGTGGGTTGAATGTCTTTCTGAAAGACTGTAGCAGGAGATCAGTATGTCCCGGCTCATTGAAAACCATAATAACTAAAGCAATGACGTCAGCTTCACCATATGGCTGGTGATAGAGATGTTTTCAAGTTACCTATTAATACACTTGTTGTTTTGAATGTATTTTCATCCTCTACAACTTTCTTGTCCTATCAATGATTTATATTTTTATAAATATATTCTAAAAAGTGGTTATTGATTATGAATCAGTACCACAAAATGTTTACATGGGGATGCTTTCATTTGCCTTTAAAAGTATAATTCCGAAATCCGTCTATCTATTTTTTCTAGAACAGGGTTCATTTTGGCTTGTGCATTATAACATTATTGTTAGCACCCGTCACAAGAGTGCTTACCACCTACACCTTCGCACCACTTTGACTTTTGAGTGTATTTAGCGTCATAAAATGCCATAGCGGTATTTTTATCTATAAATAAAGCAGGTTTTAAAGATCTTTGGTATGTTCTAGAGGGACGAACAGAAATCAAAGCGAAGAAGACTACGACCCCCATCTTCACAGAGAAGTTGAGAGTCCCACCACGTAAGTATCTCAAGATTTCTTAAGTGGAGGGTCACAGATCACCATTTTGTTGCAAATATTTCTGGGCTGACAATGTCTCAACACAAACTATATGAACATAATTCACGATAATGGAAGGCGTTTTTTTTTTCTCCAGGCGCTACCGTTAATGAGATATGTTCGTCAAAGCAAGAACTCTGGATCGACTTCCAAAAAATTTGAAAGCAGTCTGTACATGATGCTTGAATAATTCAAAAGGCGATGGCAATATTTCTAGACAAGAAAGTACGTGCCAAAAATCATAGATACTAATGTCTTATTACCAAGATCCAGCTGATCGGCGGATCGCCCTTTTGATGATGATGAGCGACATCTATCAGTTCGGAACAGTAACTGTCTTTCAGTGTAGGCCAGAGGCATGGGGGCCTTCTGTCATTTTCAGCGTATGGTCTAAAAGTTTGCCAAGCTTTGGCGAACCATTTGTAGCGTTGTCACCTCTTGTCCACAAGAGAGTATTTTCAGTAGACCGTACAAATCCGAATAGATTAGAAAGAGCCTATTTTAATTTTGCATATTTTTGGCTAATTTGCGTATTTATGTCCTCGCCTACCAAAGAGACAAATCAATATATCGGCGTAAATTCTTTTCTATGAAAAGGATGCTCTAGTATCCAAGAAAGCTGTATGCACTCACGCGCAACTGGATAAACACTATCTGTGTTGCGATGTGGATCGCACAGTTATTGTTAATAAACAGGGATAAACTGAATAAGGCAAAGGAAGGAAAGTATATACAGGGTGTCCGCAAAGTTGGGGTTTTCCTTTACACGACGTGTAGATCTTGAAAACATAAGCAATTTTTCTTAGTACCATATACACCAATGTCTTAAGGGAACCGAGATAAAGGGCTCTGCAACATCAAAAATATCTGAATACCGTCCTGTAGCCGCGACATCACGGAGTGGTACAATGTCACTGGCTCAACCCGACGACAGAACTGGGTCGGGGTCAGTGTCTCAGGTCAGTATGCAACCTTCAACCGACGGTTACGGTCACGCGTGTAGAGGTAATCGCGTATACGAGAATCCCTCAACAAGCACTAGAGTGTGGCAAACGCTGCGTGAAGAGGGGCTGTATCCGTTTCACGTCCAACGTGTACAAGCCCTTCAACCTGACGATTTTCCAGCAAGAGTGCGGTTTTGTGAGTGGTTGTTGCATCAACATGACAATAATCCGGACTTTTTGAAGTGCATATTGGTGACAGACGAATTCACGCGTAATGGGGTGAATAACTTTCGCAACACTCATGTTTGGTCAGTAGAAAATCCACACGCTGTCCGTCGGGCACATTTTACAACAAACATTTTCGGTGAATGTTTGGGCTGGCATGGTGCGTCTGCTCGGTAGCGCATCAGCTGATTTCATTTTCTGTTGGAGCGGTATGATTTCGGGCAGAGACATACTTAGCCCTTCTCGTCAACTGGAGAGTGAGTACTTTTTCCTTTATTTTTTTTTTACTTGGTCGCCCTCGTTTCACTACACATTACCTTTGTTATTTCAAGGGTAGTTGTTTCTGAAAAGGAAAACTCCAACTTTGCGGACACCCTGATTTATTAACGGTACAGTGTATGAACAATTCTGTTTAACACGTAATTTTAAAAGGTGTACATTATCAAACAGCAACAATGGCGGAATATCTGATATTGGAAATAGTAGGACACCTTGCATATTTCTACTCGGTTCTTGACTAAAAGCAATTACCTAGTTAAGCAAAACATAAAAATCTCTGCTATTATATCATCATTACTATATTCATCAAATAAAAAAAATAATCTGATGTTCATAGCTTTTTTGGGCATACTGAGCTACCTCCATAGAGTCTGACACTACGATAAGATGGTTAAATTACTACTTATAACGGGATGGTTACCCTTCCAAAAAAAAACTGAAGTAGATAAAGTTACATTTTAGTTTAGTTCGCATAGGTAGATTAAAATTTAGTTTGGCACTTTTCAGTAACCATCAAAAATTTTTGTTTGGAATATTTTGCGGTTTTTCAATGTTGTTACTTACGCTTCAGTTGAAACTGCTTTTTGCAATCCACAGAAACCTTCGCCATTTTCGGCAATTGTCTGGAACACGAGGATTGTATGGAACCCACGCACTTTTATATTATTATTACGAATTTAATGTGAAATGTGAACAACTGTCAAACTGGCGCCTTAAGCCTGGTCGACTAGTAGTATGAACTTGCATCATGACTACTATCTACGTAATTTTGGTTACAAATGGTTACGAACAAATCGTATACTTGCTCCTTCTACTTAGTCCGAATTTGTTAGTCTCCTACGACAGACCACTGATAATTGCTAATAAGCATAATAGCAACGTTGTACACAGTTGGTACATCGTAACAGGGTGGGAAGGCAAGATCCACAGGGTGTTACAAATGTATCTCGGTAACATTTGGAAAGCATGTTTATAGGAACATTTTGTGTTATTTTTTAACAACTTTGCTCTAGAAATATAGTTACTGCTTTCTGCACCATGTATTTGGTAGTATTTTAAGATAATGGCAGGTTTTTTCTTGGCTCATCCATTATGGACTTGGATTCTCGTGTCAAAAATTCGAAGCTACCGAATTCATGTTGCGTGTAAGTTGTTTTTCTCTTAAAAGTATTACGATTTCTCAAAAAAAAAACAATTAATCATAAAAAAATTATTTCAAAATTATTCTTCGCTGGTTAAAGTTCTATAAAAATAAATAAATCTATATTTTCTCGACCATATGATCGATACTCATGCTTTTTTGTTCAAGGGCATTCGTGGTTCAACAGTGTCATCTCGAATTAGAATTTCCACTACAAACCACAAAAGGCAATATTTTTTTTGCTGGACATAAAATAATTCGTGTCGCCTTTATTTTTCTCTTGTTTGCTTTCCGTCATCTGACTAGACGTATAACGTACTGATCATTTGCTAAAACGAAACAATGTTCACGGTTTGTTGTGGTCGCAGAGGGAGAAAGGAAACAAATCCCATTCAGCCTGCATTCCTTGACCGTTGCTCGTTTCCAGTTCTCTTCCTAAATTCAACTTTGTATATTTATAGTGGTTTGATTAGTTAATCGTGTTGTTTTGACGGCCTGTTTTCAAAAATATTTTTGTATATTGGTTAATATAGATTATAATTTTCATGCGTATATATGTATTTGTTGTGCGTTCCAAGTGCAATAGTACATATAGCATATGAGTGCGTAGACGTAGACAAGTGAATGATTGCAAAGTTCATTAGAAATTTAGAATAAAACCCCCCTAATACCTGTAAAGGCTCGTTTTCCAAGCAGCAGGATATATTCTGCAGTGGTTGACCGAATTCAACGAAGTCGAATCATGATCCGGAGTGAGCCATCTCGTTCCCAGAAACTTGAGATGTTGGTGCCCTCCAAGTGTTTTCTTCAAAATACTAGAGAGGAGGAAAATTATATTTCCATCAAGTATCGGAAACGAGATGGCACCCGCAAAGTGTTTTTACGTAGAGAAGAAGAAACAGCTTTGCACGTTTTAATTTGTTGAATTCTTGAGTTTTCCTGTATCATTATATATGATAATGATAACGGTAATAATTCCCATCTTAGTAATAGGGCTACCAAAATAGATAAGCTTTCACCTACTGAAGAATAAAACTATTTTATACCTTTTCTACCAGTTGATAATGATGCCCAAGTCGTTTCATTTTTGATTTAAAATTTATATGGTAATTGTTTTTTGTAGCAATGCTGAAACACTCATTCATTTGCTCAAAGGATGCCTGGGAACGGGAATCCTGGCAATGCCAGAAGCATTCAAATACTCCGGGATGATCAACGGAATTATATCAACCTTGCTCATAGGATTTCTTTGTACATACTGCCTTCACGTTTTAGTAAGTATACAATTCATTTAATATTCCGTCTTACGATCGGAATGCTACTATGTAATTATACAAGGAGCAGCCACTAAGGTCGTGTGTGCTGTTAATACAGGGTATCCCGAAGCCAATTAGATAGTAAAATTTTGCTTTACTGAAAGTCTTATAGTATCGTGGTAGTTCGGCCGCCATATACGAGTATAAAAACGGCCGCCAAGACGTACAACAATTGTTCAACATATCTTTGTGCCCAGTAGGCTAAAATTTGAGGCTCATTTCTCTTATTTTTCAAACACAAACATATTTTGTGATTATATATTTTTCGATAATCGAATAATTATTGGAATATACTAGTGTTTTCCATTCTTGTCATTGTGGAAAGGCATTTAAATACCTAACACTAAGCAATTTCAAATAGTAAAAAAAAATGCATTTACTAATCCTGCGGGCAGTTTTCCCTAATATTATCACAAAATCGAAATAAGCATTCCAAATATTTCAAAGATGAAAATCCTGACGCGTACACTGATATGAGCTTTGAATTTTATTCCCGATGTTAATAAAGTATTTACAGAGAGTGTAGTGTCTTGATATTTGTGACTAAAATATTTTTTAGTACTTGAAACTCTGGATCAAAAGAAGAAAAACTGCAGAAATTGATAAACATGAAAACATTTGTTTACAGGGTGTTTCAGAACTAAGGGATCAAACTTCTAGGGGTTAGTCAGTGTAACAGTAGAAAACATTTGAGTATACGGACCCATATCCGGAAAAGTGTCACTACGGTACTACGGCCCTAAAACGCGTTAAAATTGATAAGACGATAAATTGCCTAAATAGGATTTAGTGCATTTAATTTTTGCCTTTTGTATACGTACATGATATCATCACAACAATTGTTCAAAATGTCTTCCTCCAACCTGAATACACCGATTTAAACGTCGCACATGATTTCGGCTGACTTGACTAAAAATTTGATACTCGTTTTGAATGATTTCAAATGCTGCTGTAATTCGTCCAATTAAGTCTTGCCCTGTTTCTACTGGAGTTTCGTAAACCAAAGACTTTGCATGTCCCCACAGGAAAAAATCTAGCGACGTTAAATCGTGTGACCTAGGAGGCCAAGAAACTGCTCCACCTCTGGCAATCCAACGGTGCCAAAACCATTGAGCCAGCAATAATTATTATTTTTTGTTAAATTCTTGCAAACTTCACAAATACCATAGCATGACTAAGGATATGGAATGCAGCTACAAAAAAACAATCTCTGTTATCGTTTTTAAAGATAACAACACACAAGCGCCGGAAATGGGTCCCTATACTCAAATGCTTTCTACTGTTAGATTGAATAACCCATACAAGTTTGATTCCATAGTTCTAAAACACCCTGTATATCTGAATAATTACTAAATTGTTCAAAAAATCATTAAATATATTTTTTCTCAAATAAGGAGTGACACGAGCTTTAAAACAAAAAGGTAAGATCACGATTTAGATCGTGTGAACTGATTTTTATATGCTCCAGTAAGTACCCAATAATGCCCCGCAAATGATGAGTCTTATAACGGCATACGTTGCCTGCTATTCTAACCCTTCTGATGAAAAATTCTCACAAGTGCACGTATGCCGAGATCTGTATAACGTATATGACAGCGCCGTATGCTGCAATATGGTCATGATGCCTGGGCTATTGCTACCATAGTTATACCCATAAAAATAGTACTCCTTTATTCTCCATTAGCAAACATTTGATGAAATATTGTATTTATTTTAGGTTAGAGCACAATATGTAATATGTAAGAAAATGCGTGTAGCCTTGCTGACATATCCAGAATCAATGAAAGTGGCTTGTGAAATAGGTCCAACGTGCCTTAGAGGATTCGCTCCATATGCACCGTAAGTACCCTCACTATTAAAAAACTTGCCCTTTCACCCAGAACCCAAAAAGTCATTAACTACAATAAACAAGTTGCAGATAATTTTTCCTATCCACACACGATTGACCTTCATTTGACCTGTAGAGGGTACCTTGAACTTACAATTCAATACATATGGATGTTTAATTTTCTATTATTTCGAGTGCTGATGATTTAAGAAACCAAAGTTAAACTTGAACCTTGAAGGTGACGCTCAAGGTCAAGTCCAAAGATACCAATGAACTCCCCCTTCAAAGCCAGTATATACCTGACCCTGCACGTTTTCAAACATACCTTACTTGGAAATACATAGAGCCATTCCGTTGTGTTTGTTACACATCTTAAAAAGAAATCCTTCACCAATCCGCAAAACCTGTCTGGAAGGCTATAGTACAGAAATTTGAATAAAAAACCTCAAGCCCTTATCTAGGTACAATTATGATCACTCAAACGACATGACATCCCCATACCTTTTCTTTAGTACTTATCCTAACATTTCATTTTTTTTTTAGTTTGGTGACAGACTTCTTCCTGATCTTCTACCAACTGGGCATTTGCTGCGTGTACATAGTCTTCGTGGGCGTCAACCTCCAGAACGTCGTGAACGCCTGCCTGGAGAAGAACATCTCCCTGACGTGGTTTTTCCTGGCGATCTTCGTACCGTTCCTGGCCATCATTTGCATCAGGAACCTGAAGCTGTTGGCACCATTTTCCGTCCTCGCTAACATCATCACTTTCGTTACGTTTGGTGTCGTCGGGTACTTCGTGTGCCAGGATTTGCCTCCGTTCAGCAGCTTGCCTGCGTTTGGCACCTTGTTTAACTACCCGTTGTACTTTGGTACTACGTTGTTTTCACTTCAGGCTGTCGGTGTCGTAAGTAGCAATTTTTTATAACGATGAATTTCATGGATATTGGATAGTATGCTGCGATTGATGCTTGGCGATTCCATTCGGTGCAGTTAAGGCGGCTCCGACGCAGTGAGTTTCAAGCCATTTACAAGCGTTCAGCTGCTTCGAAACTGACACTCCATTTTTGAATGAAATTCATACAGTATGTTCTGAAGATAATTGCCGAGGGTGCTATAGGAGCACTTTTTGAAATTTTGTTTTTGCACAAGTTTTATGATGGGTTGAAATGCGCAGTTTTTCTACTCAACTTCGCGATTTTTTTAAGAATCTAGTGAAAAAAATGAAAAGGTGGCTCAATAGCACCCTGCGGGGTTTTGTTTTCAGCATACTGTGAAAATTTCATTCCAAAATATCAGAAAATAAAGCGTCAATTTCTAAGCGCGCAAATCTCTACAAATCGTATTTTGGACGAATTTTGTCTACTGTTTCGAAGAAAGGACGTATTCAGATAATTTGGTAGCCCTATTTCATATAATATCGCATAGATAAGTCGTTCTGCAAATAGGTGCTCATGATCGCATCGCTGATACTCCTCGATTTTAAAGCCGTTTTACTTCCCACGCCAGTGGCGAGGAAGTATTGTAATCGCGAAAAATTTATAAATTGAGATGTTATGTTTTTTTAAGTCATATGACATCACGAAAAACTATATCACTCATCATCAACTTGGAAATTACCGCTCGGATTTTTATGAAATTTCCACACTGGGTTACTAGTATGCCAAACCTTTGTAGTTTTAGTCCAGTGGCAACGGTGCTATAGGCAAAAAAGAAAAAGTAACAATTGCTGAAAGGCCGTTTTTGACATTACAGGGGTTCCGTATCATTGACAGAAAAAAATTGTACTGCTTAAAAAGTGAGGGTTGGGGGAAGGTGATTCTAAATGTTGCATCTTTGATATCAGTGAAACACGTTCTATTATTAAGAAGCTTCTGATCCCAGTGATTACAGGAAATTTAAGTAACGAAAATCCGACGAATAATGTGCTCACGATTTGAAAAAATGGTACCTGCTCTATAGGTTTGACACCAAGAGCCAACAGATCTATCTGCAACTGCCAACATTAGGGAAGAATGAATTTGGATATCACTCCAGTCAAGTATGGGGCAATTTATCGTGGAACTTTAAAATTATCGATAATTTGGTAGATTTTATACCTGCATTTTCATTTCATGACCCGTGAAATGTACCCATTTCGCCGTTACCTTCAATTTGTGTTCTGCAGTTTGTGATATTTTTTTAGATATAAGCAGGACATAATTGCCTAAGGTGCTATCAGAGCTTTTTACAAAATTTTGTCTTTGCGCAAGAATTATGGTGGGTTGAAATGCTTACTATTTGTGCTCAACTTCTTGATATTTTAAAAAGATCCTAGTGGATAAAATCGAAAAAGTGGATCGTTAGCACCCTGTGGACTTTGTTTTTAGCACGCTACACGAGTTTCATTGAGAAATAATAAAATTATGAAACGTAAGCTGTGAAGTGCAAATCGGTTTTTGGACGAAATTCGTCTACTGTTTCGTCCTGCAAGTCCAAGCGACGCGACGGTGCGTTCCGACTAAGAAAAAATGTATTCAAATAATTTGATATCTTTCCTAAAATAAATTCAAGAACTCAAATTCAAATTCGTTTATTCATGTCAATAAACACAATTATGTTTACAAGGTGTGGTACATGGTAACAATTGAACGAGGGTCATAAAAATATCTTATGCCGTCAAAATAAGCGGAAACAGTTAGGTAGGTTTTGCAAAGCACTAAACAGGTAGGCTTATACCTGGATTAAATACATTTCTTGTCTACTGTAATAGGTAGATGGAGGCGATGCTGCCAGAAATGGATGTTTGCGATCAATAAACAAACCACAAGATTGAACTGCGGTGTCCAATGATTTATGTATTGCCTTTTTATTGCCTTACTAGAAAACTCTGTTGGGTATATGATGGAGTTTACTAGAACTTTATAGCTTGTTGTCTGCCTTCTTCTACAAACTTCACCAAATCGAGACGCTGACAACCTTATCCTCCGATGAAGGCGCGACAAAGTACAGTCCTGTGATTTGGTGACTTGTTCGATATGCAAAATCTCGTCGACACTTTTTTAAGTTTTCCTAAAAATGTTCGCTTAGCAACCTCCAAATCAATGTGGTTAAAGTCAGGTTTTTGACTGAATTCGCCATAAAACTTCATTTTCTTTAGAATTGCTATCCGAATTGTTAGTTATTTTTATATCAACTTTTTTTGGTCTGAGTTTCTTTTCAAGATTCTTGCGTTTGAGTCTTTGTTCCATCTTAGCGATAAGCGAGGTTGGACTAAGCTTAGAACGCAAATGTATTTAGACCACATAGACAGGCCGCTGGGTATTGTGGCTCACTACAGCTGCTGCACATCTTCCATGGTATGACCTCTTCTTGCAATAATTTATTCGCTTACCCCAATGTATTTTGCGATTATAGTTGAACTGCTCCACACTATTGTTGACCTCATCATGAATTAAACTCACTGCATTCGTAATTAAAATGGTCGCGTATGACCCTTTATTGTCCATTATCAGCCTTGATAAAAAAAGGCACTCAAGAACAATCACACCAACAAGCGTACAGCATAAAAATTCAACAACACAATATCAACGAACAGTAACAAGGGGTGAAAAATACTAAATGATCACTTGCTGAGTACCAAAATAAGAAACGATTTACATTCTAGATCGCTAATCGAAATCAGACTCTATTATAAAATTTTACCTTGGTATGCACCCGCAGTCATCCTTTCCTCTTTTAAAGTAACGCCGACGACTGTCTAGGACCAGCCCACCCTCGTCTCCTATTCACCCCCCCCTCGTTACCTCAGCAGATGGTGCTCGTGATTTTAGGAGCCCCGTTAACAAAAGAAAAAATCGGATGAAAAGGACATGTTTGCTTGCCGTCTCCTGTAACCATGGCCACCCGCAGACAGCGCTGTTTCGTGCTCATTAGCAACATATGAGTGCGGTATACGTATTAGGTCTCGTTTTGGAGACGAAAAACGAAACCATTAGTATAAATAAAAAATACTTGAAAAGCACTCGTTTTGGAGATATATAGGTTTGAATATTTGAGATAAAATACTAAAATATTCTTATGAAAAGCTGTGGCATCTGATTACAACTTTAATTGAATAATATGCTCCTCAATCAGTACCGTGAAAGCTTAGCATTCATTAGACCTTTTCTGTGCACGCCACAGATTTTGCCGGCATATTCATTTTTGTTTATAAAGAAACTTCAAAACAAAGAAAACGTTTATTTCAAAAATAAATAAATAACATATAGTATTTCCAATATCAAGCTTCACGATGATTCTCGAATAAGGAGGATAAACCTTTTTGTAATATTTTACCTCACATATTCAAACCTAAATAACTCCAAAACGAGTGATCTAACAAAAGTACCTCAAGAGACAAAATTTATCAAAAATTGAATGGTATTTCATAAAATGCAGCGCTTTTCTCCGAAAAAGCCAGTGGCGTAGAAAATATTTCCTATAAGAGAGGTCCTGTTTCTCCGTCCCTGGTTTATTTTGGGCCGGGAAACTCGGAGTTTATCGCTAACGTCTAAAATCCTGAACATATTTACCCGCTCCGTAGGTATATTTTTTATATTTCGTAAAAAAAACTTCATCACCATCTCGGTAGGGGAGCATCTTTGGACACATATTGATAGGAAGGTTTGTTGTTACTTTTGGATGTACTTTCTACCATAGAATATTGACACGTCTTTCTGAAACACCCTGTATTTACTAGCCATTTTCGAAACGATTTGCAATTGTCACATCCAGTTGGCTTTGGACAGGGGCGACTGATACCAATCGCCTTCAATAAGCAAAAGTTTCGTCCTGGAATTTGCATCTCATATGAGAGTCTACTAATATTACATGCTCTACTATAGTATCATCCGCTTCTCCTACGAAGATGATTGGTCGCCAAGTAAATTTAAGCATTTGTGCAAATTTCTCATTGACTCATTTTTCCTAAATAGGATCGTATTCAAAGTTACTAATGCTCGACAATATTTCTTTATAGGTAATAGCTCTGGAAAATAACATGGCAACCCCGAAGAAGTTCCGAGGAGCATTTGGTGTCCTTAACATTGGAATGGGATTGGTGATTGTCATCTACGTAGGCATGGCTATGATGGGTTACTGGAAATACGGAGACCAGATTCAACCAACTGTTACGTTGAATTTTCCTCCAGATGACAAGTAAGTTATCATATAAAACATTAAATTAGTTTTTGATTTATTATCCACTCCATTTATATATTTTGCTTCTTAAATTTTTTAGGTTAGCTCATGCCACGAAAATCCTGTACTCGATAGCTATTTACATTTCATTCGGTCTGCAGGGATATGTTCCAGTGAAGATTCTTTGGGACAACTACATTGTGAAGAAGCTGAAGTCTGATAGCAAGAATATGCTGTACGAATATATGCTTAGATTTGGCTGTGTTATTTTGACCTGTAAGTTTAAATCTTATCTCCTACAATGCATGTTCCAGATGTGCATATACTCGTATGTGTATTTTTTATTCATTAGGACACACAGGAAAGAATCCTAAATGGTACATGAAAAACAAACATACAACTGAATCTAAAAGTAAAACTAATAAAGAAAAAATAAGTGCGAAGTGCAGTGTCAATTGTTAGAGTATTTACGAATATATTTACGAAGCTGTGACAGAAGAAATCAATTTCAATACAACTGTCGTCGTAGTTTTTCAGAATTCTCTCCACAGGGTATTTCAGAACTATGGGATCAAACTTGTAGGGGTTATTCAGTGGGACCCATATCCGGCACTTGTGTGTTGTTATCTTTAAAAACGATAACAGAGATTGTTTTTTGTAGCTGCATTCCATATCGCCTTAGTCGTGCTATCGTATTTGTGAAGTTTGCAAGAATTTAACAAAAGTTAATTGTTGCTAATGGAAAACTTTACTAGTCAAGAATTGGCGGATATGCATTTGGCATACGGAGCAACAAACTGCAATGCATGAGCAGCAGCGCAGATGTATCAAGAACGTTATCTCGAACGACAGCATCCGGGATACAAAAAGTTTATTGCTATTCATCGGCGGCTCTCCGAGACAGGCATGTTTAAAACCAACATGCATGATACTGGTGTTGCTCGAACCGTAAGAACGGTCGAATTTGAAGAAGAGGTCCTTCAGCTAGTTGTCGACGAACCATCAAGTAGCACACGTCACATTGCTGAGGATATGAATACGAGTAACGCTTCTGTCTGGCGGGTGCTACACGAGCAACAACTTTATCCTTACCACTTCCAGAAAGTTCAAGGATTGACTGCAACCGATTATCATCTAGAGTTCAATTTTGTCAATGGCTTCTTCATCAAATGGGACCGATGAAGCCTCTTTCACAAGAGACTGTATTTTTAATAGTAGGAATAGCCACGTGTTGGGACAAAGAAAATCCTCATGCAATCTTTCCTAGAAAAGATCAGCAACGTTGGTCTATCAACGTATGGGTAGGCATTGTTGGTGATTATGGTTAACGGTTAACAGGACCTATTTATCGGCGTTTCTTGGAGGAAGTTTTTCCAGAACTTCTTGAAAATGTTCCATTGAACGTTTGACAGCAAATTTGGTTTCAGCATGATGGAGCGCCGGCTCACTTTACTGTACAAGTACGTGAATATTTGGCTCAGCGGTTTGGGCACCGTTGGATTGCCAGAGGTGGAGCAGTTTCTTGGCCTCCTAGGTCACCCGATTTAACGCCGCTAGATTTTTTCCTGTGGGGACATGTAAAGTCTTTGGTTTACCAAACTCCAGTAGAAACAGAGCAAGACTTAATTGGACGAATTACAGCAGCATTTGAAATCATTCAAAACGAGTATCAAATTTTTAGTCCACCGAAATCAAGTGCGACGTTTAAATCGGTGGATTCAGGTTGGAGGAAGATATTTTGAACAATTGTTGTGATGATATCATGTACAAAAGGCAAAAATTAAATGCTTTAAATCCTATTTAAGCAATTAATCGTCATTCTAAATTTTAACGCGTCTTAGGGCCGTAGTGCCGTAGTGACACTTTTCCAGATATGGGTCCCTATACTCAAATGTTTTCTACTGTTACACGGAATAGCCCCTAGAAGTTTGATCCCCTAGTTCTGAAACACCCTGTATAAAACGTTTATAGACATGGAAGCCTATGGAGAGTTGAGTAAAAGTATTGTCTGGACCGAGTCTGTCTCCTCGGTACTCTAAAATGAACCTTAGACCGTAATTTAGAACACTGAATCGCTTATATGGAAATCGAAGTTTGTGCAGCACAAAATTTTCGAATTGGTTTCAACGTAACAGTTGTAATATGGACTCAAAAAAACAGTTATATTCCATATTCTGTATTGAGTTAGAATAAAAATAATGGCGGTGGCCAATATACTTGTAATGTCACGTATTCCTGTTAAAGGGTGATAGATTAGGTTAAAAGCAACCGATTTTGTGCTATCATGTCTTATCCAAAAGTTAACCATTTTTGAGTTATTTGAATTTTAAGTTTTTTATTTTTTATTCCGATTTCGGACGGTTAAAATTGAAATACAAAAATTGCATGCTTGATTTTGAGTTTTTTGTTATCGTCGCATAGCAGACATTCCAATAATTCATAATAAGTAATAAAATGTTGAAAAGCTGCAAACGTTTTAAAATTACGCTTTTTAAATGTATGATTTTCTTATTTTTTTACTAACTTATTCGATAAAAAATGCAATTTTCTGTAAAAAATCTCCTAGTAATGAAATGTGCAAATTATGTAAATAATATCTCTATCTAATAAGCTTTCATTTGAGGTATTAAGCGTTCTATTATCTGAAGTACATGCAGAGAAACAACAATGACACCCACAGAGGCTGGATTTTTAAGGAATTTGTATTACCTGTTTGAACAAGTCGTTACTGTCCTCAAAGGACTCGCATGCCCTGATTGTTTTATGGCATCGTCTCGACGAGGAAGCGAGCGAGAAGAGCTGACTTAGTGGAGTAGTGAGAGAGAGAGCTATTATTATTCATCATTCTAGTTACGCCATCGCCGCACGGCGAGTGAGAATTAGGTTTAGTTGGTATCAACTACTGCGTACGCGCACACGTTTTACGCACGATTATTATTTTCGAGCATCCCAGTTCATTTCGAGTGGTTCCTTTATCATCATGGCAGACGCAGAAGATCCGCCAAGACCTCGCCATAGCGAGCACGGGCAAACTTTTACAAATGAAGAATACGCAGACATATTGTTATTGACTTTGTAACGGCGATTCTGCAGCTGCCCGCCGTGAATATCGGCAACGTTTCCCGAATCGCCGAACACCTCATGTTACTGAGTTTGACTCTGTGTATCGGCGCATCCGCCAAACCGGGCGTGTTCAAACGCAACATAGTGTTGCTGGTCGACCCCGCGTTTATCCTCCTGAAGATGAAGAGGAAATCCTTCGTGTGTTTCAGGAAGACCCTACTACGTCTACGCGTATTGTGGCTGCTCAGTTGGGTATATCACAATGCAAAGTATGGTTTACTGCGCATACTGCAAGATTATACCCTTATTACTACACGCCTGTGCATGTGATTGAAGAGGGCGATCCTGCAAGACGATTAGATTTCTGCAGGTACATGTTACATGCAGATACAGAAGATCCAGACTATTTTAAGAAAATTCTGTGGACCGATGAATCGAAGTTTGATAAGGACGGGATCACTAACTACCATAATGCTCATTACTGTGCTGATAAAGAAGCTTTAAACCCCCGAAAAATAAGACCGACGGGGTCTCAGAGCCGGTTTTCAGTCAATGTGTGGATGGGCATCATTGATGGATATTTAATTGGACCTCATTTTCTGTCCGCCAATTTAAATGGAGAAGTGTATGAAGAGTTCTTGAAAAATCACTTGTTTCCATTAATGGAAGACGTCCCATTGGCGACGAGACAAAATATGACGTTCCAGCACGACGGCTGTCCCGCACACTACAGTGGATTAGTACGGGCGTATTTAGACTCTAAATTTCCAAATCAATGGATTGGCAGAGGCGGTCCCATTGCCAGGCCAGCAAGAAGCCCAGATTTCACACCGATGAATTACTATGTGTGGGGGCATATGAAAAGCCTGGTGTACGATGTTTCGCCCGTACCAACGCGCGATGAATTAATTACAAGGATAATCAGTGCAGCTGACCAAATAAAAAGCCGCTTAACAACAAGAGTTAGCCCTACGTAATTATCGTTCGTACAACTTAAGACATCTTTTTTAATTTTATGTCTTTGTACTTGAGTTAGTTGTAACTTTTATACCTCAAATGAAAGCTTGTTAGATAGAGATATTATTTACATAATTTGCACATTTTATTACTAGGAGATTTTTTACAGAAAATTGCATTTTTTATCGAATAAGTAAAAAAATAAGAAAATCATACATTTCAAAAGCGTAATTTTAAAACTTTTGTAAGTTTTCAACATTTTATTACTTATTATGAACTATTGGAATGTCCGCTGTGCGACGATAACAAAAAACTCAAAATCAAACATGTAGTTTTTTTGTATTTCAAATTTAACCGTCTGAAATCGGAATAAAAAATAAAAAAAATAAAATTCAAATAACTCAAAAACGGTTAACTTCTGGATAGGACATTATAGGGCAAAATCGGTTGCTTTTGACCTAATCTATCACCCCTTAACAGGAATACGTGACATTACAAGTCACCCTGTATACATGACTCAGTAGGTGGCGCCATAGTAGTTGTTTAAAGCACATGTGTACACTTCATCATGGATCGATACACGATCCCACAACGCGTCCGTATTGTTAAAGCGTTTTACTTAAATAATGAGTCGACTGTTGCAATGGTTCGGGAGCCAGGACACAATTTCAGTCGACATAATGTGCCCAGTGTCAACACCATTCGTCAGTTGGTGCGGAAATCTGAACTAACAGGTGAAATTAAAGACTTGCCAATGTTCTTGAAAGTGTACTGGAGCACCCTGAGACGTCTACCAGACATCGTTTTCAAGGAATGGATATTCTTCGCACGTCATTATGCACTATTCTGAAAAAAGGTTTGCATTTCATGCCGAGCTTTTGGCATCGAAATTAAGGAGAATTATTCATAAGTTTTTCATTCTTAGGAATATTTTAAGCAGAAAGAGTCTTCTCTCAATATATAACTCGTTTGTGGGGTCTCTACTAACTTACGGGATAAGTATTTGGAGAGCCGCATACACTAGTACTTTACAAATACTACAAACCACGCAAAATTATATTGTCAGGACTATTTTTCGTATCCCATGTAGGTCAAGTTGCAGATTTGTTTACATTGAAAATGATCTTTTGAATGTTAGAGGTTTATATATTTTTGCCGCTCTAAAATTTGTTCACTCCCGAAACAATGTTCCAACCATCCACGCTTATGAAACAAGAACTAAAATAAATATAAGTTACACCTATACTAGAGTGAATAAATCTGTTTGCCAAAAATGCATAAAGTTTGATGGTATTAGGTTGTATAATAAATTACCCCTAGAATATAAAATCCTCTCGAACTATAGTTTCAAAAAAAGAATTAAGAAGTTCATCTTAAATAACTTTGACATGCTTGCATCGACGGTAGCTTGACTCAACTCAGTAATTTCGTTTCTATCTAATGTTTTTTTTTATTTCTTTTTTTTATATACATTTGCTCATAATATACCTTATAACCATTAGCCATGCATTGAATTTGTATATTGTATGACACACACAAGCTTATAGCTTAGGTGTCTATTATTTTGTAGTAAATTCTTTTGTAGTAAATTGTAGTACTCTTGTTTCTCTGCTTAACCTTTACGCAAAATTTTTATTGTTTAAACAACATAGTTTGACCTTACTCGAAGTATCCCTCTATTATCATATTTCAGATATTCATATTTTATGTACTCTATATTTATACTTCTGAGTGTTTTTAGTATGCTTCTGTACTATTGTTATGAATTTTAGATTTGTTTATGCAGACACGTAATTTAGGATTTGTGACGACAATCCCTTTACGAAAGTATACAGAATTTTCACAATTCATATACCGTTACTTGCTGGTTCTAGATCTGATGCTAGTATCTTTGCTCAGAGTTTCTGTCGTGTTACAATTTTAATATTATGTTCCCTGGATAAATGATACTGATCTTGACTTTTCCAGTTATTCTCGCTATGACTGTTCCTCTACTTGGTCTGTTCATCTCCCTGGTGGGAGCCTTCTGCCTCTCAGCCCTCGGCATAGCCTTCCCAGCCATCATAGAGCTATGCGCCTATTGGCCAGACCGACTGGGTCCAGGAAAGATCACCCTGTGGAAGGACATCCTGCTTATCATCATCGGTATCGTAGGATTGTGCGCGGGGAGCTACAGTTGTATATACATGATCATCCAGGAACTGACTAAGTAGAACGCTACTGTGATCTGTAGTATAGATTAATGAGGAATATACAATGTCAAATAAGGTCCAAAAGCTGAAAAGTGGTCAAAATCTAGTTTAACCGTACAACGAAAGTCATCATTTGTAAACAACACGACAGTTCTCCAACTGGAGCGGCACTGTGCGTTTAACGAGTCAACTTCCAGTCAAACGTATCAAAGCATTGAAGTCTTTACATTCCAATGCGGGGTATCGCGTTATTTGTCATGTTGGAGACATTGTATCTTACCACTGTAAAACGTGGCGAGCTAACTAAAAATGCAGTGTCAAATTAACTGTGTGTTCCTTTATGAAAAGGAATATTTACAAAAGTGTTTCTAGTGACGTAATCGAAATAATAGATCATTACACATATATATTCGAATGACGTTTCAAAAAATAGATACCTTTCATAAAAACCTTTTTGATGTATTCAAGCATATGCTGGTGAACTATACTTTACTAAGTTAAACAAAAGAATGAAAGGAAGATTTTTTTCTGGATTTTGACCAACTTTTTAATTTATTAACGCGAGAAGTCAAAATGCATTATTTTTTATGAAATAACTGCTAACAAATTTATAAAATCAGATGATCAATAAACAAAAAGGAGTGTTACATGTCGATTATTATAAATTATTTTTTGCTCCAAATTTTATTTAAAAAAAACACATTCACAATGCAAATATTAGTATATTACATTATATGCGATATCTACGAAATATGCGGATTCCACATTTGTTTATCCTTCAAAAATGGAACTCGCACAACTAACATACAATATTTATGTATTTTGACTTCTCATACTTGATAAGACGTGCCAGTTTCTATCATTACTTTTGCACAAAATACTTGTTATGCCATACGCATAGTATATAAGTAAGGACTATGTTGAAAGAGTGCTTTTGTATATAATTACACGAACAATTAATCAGGTGACTTCAACTAATATACAAAAAAAACACGAGCCTTATTAATCGCATCAGCAATCATTCATCAAAAATCAGAATACGACCATCCCAAAAAGAGGTTGTGATAGTGCTTGCAGAACTATGAACTTGAAAGAAGACAATCTCAGCTACGCTCACCTCACTTAGGTTTGTCCAGTTTATTGTGAATTATTTTTACCAAAACGTATTCTACCGGAAGATAGCCATAATGCTACATTCAAGCGACCAAAAAATTATCTAAGATAAAATGAGATATCGTAGCGTCATCTATGTGAATTTCCAGCTGTTTGTCTATTTACTATTTACACTTTGAAAAAGTTTGTGTCATAGATGGCGCTGTAGTGACATACATGCTTGTATATGCATTACATATCCTAAATAGAGAAACAGCTGTCAAAAATCGTCATACTCTTTATTTTTTTATTTCACTTTGTGTTTGTGATTAAAAAATCTACATAATAAATGCCGTTGGGCTAAAAACTGTTTGAGGGACCTGGGGTGATAAAAAAAGACCACCTCTGTCCGCCATTTCAATTTGGCATACGATCCACCAAACACCCTGTATGATTTGTCGAAACTTGTTCATAATTCTGTATGGAAAATATAGTACGCAAAGTATCTCCTTACATCCCGAACAAGTGTATATACACAATTCTGAAAGGTCGTATATGGTCATAAAAATAAGTACAATCAATTTAGTTTGTAGGGGTATGCGTATTAGTTACACTGTATACATGTATGAGCTACGTACGCGTTTAAGCTTAGAACCAGTGTTACACGATTTTTTTAATTTATATAGGTAGAGCATTATATAATAAATAACATTAAAACGAACTTTAATCATCAAATCAGGATTGTAGGTTATTAGATGTTTTATATCACGAATTTTGACAATTACAGTGAGCTTTATTGTAAGCATGCTTTAGCGTAAACTCAGTCAAGTTCAAAAGCAAATTATTTTTCTCTTATGACACAAAATATTTTGTTACTGTAACCTGGTGTTTTCATGTTGATAGTCCTCCATGTTTGTTCAAGTAATTGAAAAAGGCCATCGTGGTAGCAGAAACGCCCTGTCAATAACCAGTAATTCAAACATATGTGGCTTCATTTAGCCACCAGACAAACAAGGAGGATTAACATATTTTGGATAATTTTTAATGGGTAATTATTGATAATTCTTCCAGTTCAAACAAAACTTTATGGAGCAAGTATCATCACTCGTCGAATTTGAAATATTGATAATTTTATTGTAAATATAACATATACTATCACACATTATACTCATGGTAGGAGAGCCCAATGGGGGATTTTGGGGATTTACTCGAGTGGGCAGATCAACATAAGGACAGATACCTTGCAACCTGTTTAGTACCAGCATCATATATAAGCCATTTATATAGGGGGTAGGTATCAGGCTGCCGATCAGAATAGAAAAAAATGATTGTTAGAAATGCATGTACGAGTCAGGCTAAGATGAGTTGGGTAAATTGCATGCTAAAAAGTGTGATTTTCAATAGTCTGACGATTTGAGTGTGGCGTAAAGGAGTGGGAGTGTCACAAACTTACAAAAAGAAACTTTATGAAAAACGAAGATAACAACATGCAGTCTTCGCCAGTTTTCAATAAATTTCTGAAGAAAAATAATACCAGTGCACCTGAGGTTTTCGAAAAAAACGGCATTGCTAATATTGAGGTTAGAGTTACGCCCTCTAGGGGCCACTTTAGGAAGCTGAAAATAATTTTCAGCATTTTCTCTTTTGTTATAACTGACTGGTACAAACCGACAGATTATCATACCCGACGCGCTTGTGTATTTCTATGACAACTATTTTGTTACACTTTTGAAAATCTGCATCAACCCACCCCCTCCACCTCTAAAATGTTGTACACCATACAGCCTTTTTTCTTTCTGCGATCTAATTTTTCAAAGTCCAATAGGTCCTCACGACGCTCGAGTAACTGGCCATTTATTTAGCCTCTTGGGCTCCCCTATTATTATGACCATCTGGGAAAATAGTACCTGCTACGAATATACAGGGTGTTTGGTACATGCGATTGGGGAGGCTATTTGATGATTTTTGAAGGTTTGATGGTTACCGGGATATGATCGTTTTGCGTTTTTTTTGCTGGGTTACCTACAATTGCGCATAAATATCGTTATCACTTTTTGACACAAAATAAACCTAGCTTCACTTACAAAACATATGTGATTTATTGCCTTTCCAAAGATATGCTACACATCATAGAAATGATGTCTTGTGCGGTCAAAAATAGAGAAAACAGTTGGTCGGGCTATTGATCTTTTTATACGATTTTTCCAGTTTGTATTCAATTTGAATCAGTGACAAACTCCTCGAACTGCCTACCCCCCGATTTTCATCAAAAATCATCAAATAGCGTCCCCAATCGCTGTTGGTCCATGTACCAAACACCCTGTATAGAACTAAAAATACTCATGTTCATTGGAGCACTTTAGAGCATTAGAATCTTGTATAGACTGCACTGATACATTAGATATTTTTTGAGCTGGACAAGCAGTGTATGATCGCTTACTATGTTATATGTTATCCTAATTAAATATAACTACTACATCTTTAATACTATGTCATTCAATTAACCTCAACGACGCTTGTAATTTTTCTCATAAATAGGAAAAATAGTTTTTGTTAAGATGGGGTAAATAACAGAATGTGAAACAAGATATATTCATATTTCTGGTTCATTGTATCTACTTTGATTTTACGTTATTATTTCAATTCCTCTTTATATTGTGACTTGAAGTTGTTGACACTTTTTAAATTCAATAAAAATAGTTTAATTTTTTACTCTACGTTTTATTGGCTCCTTACATATCGCACACATTCGCATAACAAGAAGTTTTTCCCTATATACAAAAAAAATTAAAAAAAAATGTCACCGTGTTTTATAAAGTATCCTCCCGACAAGTATTTCAGTGCTGACCTGTATTTGATCGTGCGGTCTTGGAGCACCGGCATGCCCTCCCCTGTGAGGTCTTAAGTCACCTGATTCACGAGCCCTTTGTACATCATCGTTGTACGTCATCATTAACAAAGGCACGAGGGGTTGGTTGCACTCGATTGGGAAACCGGTCCGCATAAATCCGTGGTGCAGCGGCAGCATTTTGTAAAGCCCCCCCCCCCCCCCCCCCCGTAAATAAGAATCATGTCCACAAGTTCAGCATTTTCGTAAACATGTGCCATTTTTTATTTCGTTTGAGCCACGCAACAAACACACACACACACTCACGCGTTACCGACTGACACATTGACTGAATACAACTGAATAAAATTGTAGTAAAAACATCGTGATAAGCGTTTCAAATTCTTTCGCTTTTTTGTTTCCGATGCGATGATGAATGATTTTTATAGAATAGTTGTTAAATTTAAATTATTTGCTTTGTCTAAACAAAGAAAGTATGGCAACCAGTACCTCGATCTCTTTAATAGACAGAGTACCTACTGAATGTAAGAAGATATGATCTTCAGTTGATACCTCAAAAATAATTGATAATTCATTATTCTTTAAAACACACCTAATATTTGTATTTGCACATTTTCATTTTTGTAAAGGAACTTGACAATACTTTGAAGTTGAGTCATTAATTTTCAGATAATGATTGTAGAAGGAAGATAAACCAAAATATGTGTGTAAAAATAAAAAAAAAATTAAAAAAAAAATTTTACCTTGTTTTATAAAGTATCCTCCCGACAAGTATTTCAGTGCGGACCTGTATTTGATCGTGAGGTCTTGGAGCACCGGCATGCCGTCCATATGTGAGGTCTTAAGTCAAATGATTCACGAACCCGTTGTACTACATTAACAAAGGCACGAGGGGTTGGTTGCACTCGATTGGGAAACCGATCCGCATAAACATGTGCCATTTTTTATTTCGTTTGAGCCACGCAACAGACACCACTATCCACTACCGACTGACACTGACTGTATACAACTGAATGAAATAATTGTAAAAACATCGTTCCAAATTCTTTCGCTTTTTTGTTTCCGATGCGATGAACCGATAAGGCGGATTATATCCGTTGTTGCCAAACACGAGCACATATTATTATTGAGATAGGGCGGTACTCAAACTTCTAAAGGGCTATAACTTTGTTAATTTAATTTTACCAGAAAAATGTTAAAGGAAAAAACATTTCTTTTGATCAGATCTACTCACTGTTAAAATAAATGACTCAACTTCGAAGTCACCCTGTATAGTCGTGTGAAGGATTTTGACGGCACAAAAAATCGATCTGAGATGATACGTTTTACTTTCTACGTCTTTAGGCGAGGAAGTATTGTAATCGCAAGGAATTTCGTAAATTAGATATTGTGTGTTCTGAATGTCATATGTCATGGTACATTTGTACATTTTCCGTCGGTCTGTCTGTCGGCCTGTCCGGAAATCCTTGACACGTCTATAACTTGGAAAATACTGATGAAATTTTCACACAAGACTACTAGGTATGCCAAGGACGAAAAGGCTTTATAGATTTTGAGAATCAGTCTAGTGGCGACAGAGAAAACTGCCAAAAACGAAAAAAATAAAAATCACTCAAAATTCGTTTTGTGATGTATCAGAGGACAAAAAGGGAGAAAAAAAAATTAAGGGGTGAAAAATTTTATGTATCGCAAGTTTTTTATGTTAGTATATGGTATTCATACATTTCCAACCTATATTTCGCACTTCCTCGATTTCCCTGTCCTTAAGAGTACTTCCAGCAGACGGATCGCGTACCTATCCGTCGCACTTGCCGTGCATCTTTCTTAGTGGATACGATAACACGGTAAAAAATGCGAGGTGGGCGCGATATTATATTTATATACGAGCTTGGAGAGTAATTTAATGAGATTACTTAATTTCGTGTGATATTTTTGACATTTAATCACAAATATCTACAACAAGGTTTTGCTCTACCAATTTTCAGCTTTTTCGGAATTTCTGTAAACCTATTTTGACTGGAGTAGGAACAATGTCCAATCCTAGTTGGAGAGACTGTAAATTTACAAAAAAACGCCCTAAATCTTCGTTATTGTATATTTTCCGAGCACCTTCACACTATAACATTTCAACAAGTTCTAGTCAATGGTACTGAAATAAAAGATTTTACTATGTAAAGACGTTAGAATCTCATTTTTTAATTTCTAGAATACCACAGTTATTTTGGCGCAGGCTTACAATCTTAAGAACTTTCATCCAATAAATGGGATGTACTAAGTCAGTCATTTGGCTCTATTTTATAGTGGTTTAATAATACCTACGCAAAATTCCAGAGCATGTAGAACCACGTATACTTGAAGAAACTAATATACCTTTCAATACTGGCAGTCACCGCTGAAAGTATGATTTCAGCTTATGACATATATGCAACCACTCTATCAGATTTTTGTATGATTCTATCTGACTAGAAGGTTAAGTGGAAAAGCAATGTTTCCTGGGTAGATCATAAGACTAATCAAAAAGCGCTTAGCAAAATTTTAACATGATATTGAAAATTAGCGGTATCTTAAAAACGTGCTGATTTACAAAAATCTTGAATACCTACAATCTCGACCAAAACTAGTTTCTCAGGTAAACTGGGAGCATAGATCACGGAAATCCCCATAAGTCCCATTTTTTTATTACAAATAAGTGATTCGAGACACTTTTTAGCCTTTCTCAATGGCCACATTTGGAATAAGCATCCCAAATCACACCAGTTTCTGAGTTTTGCTCACTTGTAGCAACTGGGAGGCTCAGCCATGGACGAAGTGTTGTGTGTTGTCTACAGGGTATTCTGTACACAAAGTGAAGTAGTAGATAGTATGGAGGGAGACCTTTTCATATCTGAAGAAAAAAGTTCTTAAGTCAGTTTTCACGGATGTATCTATCTAAACTAACTAAATTTTTCATATCACATATCTCAGCCACTAATAAATCGATTTTTAAAACTAGACTGATCGTAAAAAATCCAGTGCCGGACTCATTATTGTTCACTTTTTCGTTTTTTATCAAACACCTTAACCCTTAAACTGAATATTGAAATGTTTGACTATGTGTAAACGAGCCAATGAATGTCTTCAAGTTTTTCGGATAAAAAATTATTCAAATATATTTTTAGCAATTTATCTGCCACAAAACTCAAAATTTTAAGGGTTATCAACTTGGTTTCATCAATATTTCACAATATAACGCTCAAATTGACCTAAAGATGTTTTAGAAACTAAAAATTCGAGTCGGATTAAGTTTTTTCTTGTTTTAATCAAGTGCAACGCTCTATAAGTCATAGTCTGAATTTATTATTATTTTGAACCAAACAGAAAAATTAATGTTATGCAATGTTATTTAGTTTTTTTCCAGTAATTTTTTAAAGATTTAATTCCACCAACTAATCTTATAGAACATGAAAACAGGAAAACTGCATTTAGTATTTAAATCCACTCTTTGGGCCAATTCAAGGTTACGATGAAAAACCTAATATATACACGTCCTGACTCAGCATTTTCAGCATAGTTACAAGCTCCCATTACAACTTTACATTAGATGTAGCTACATAAGGCACACATGCTACATCAAACAATTAAATGTCAAGCCCGAACCTGCGTACTCCAATTTGTGGATTTTCAACTTAATGTTGGTTTGGAAGGTCAAATTTAGTTTAATCACACATTTAACGTTGCAAAACAGTATCAGTTTTCCCATTTATTTGTATCATATCTTGCTCTGCATCTACCAAATAATAATAAATTCAGATTACAGCTTAAAGAGCTCACTTCATAAAATACAAGGAAATTAAAAAAATGAATCTGACCCTGGAATTTTCTGTTCCCAAAACACCTTTAATTTAATTTTAAGCGTTATTTTGTAGAATATTGATGAGCCGTCGAAATTTTGAGTTTTGTGCAACACAAACTGTTAAAAATGAAATATTTGAATAAATAAAAATGTCTAAATAAAAAACTAAAAGAGGCCCAATCAATCTATTTTGCTAACTAACAAGCAACATTTATTGGCTCTTTTTTGAACATAGTGAACAATCGAGTACGGTCCTGGATTTTTTAGCCGCCGCTGTTCTAGTTTTACCTTACTCCTAACTTTGTTGTCGTGCACAAGTTTAGCAAAATCGATTCAATAATGCCTGAGGTACGCGATATTAAAGATTTGGCGTATATCCGTAAATAATAAACGTATATTCAGATAAGAGATAGACCGGATGTAAACAAAAGGTTCCGGTGATTTTCACGCTAACGCCGCCGTCTCGACGTAAAACAGGAGCCCTCATTGGTCAATTCGCAATTAAATGCCTATGCCCAGCGGCGGAGCAGTCGTATCAAGGCAGAGTCACATTCAGGTTCAGACGTGTTACGTATGTCGTGTGCATCATTGCAATTTGATATTTCTTTGGACGTTTTCGTTTGTTATCTTATTAAGTTGTTGAGTTTGTCGTTGTTATTGTTATACCTTGTTATTGATTGTTATTGTTATCAACTGCTTGCGCAAAATGCCCAGTAGTACAGATAGTGCCGATGAAGTTGTAAACTCCTGTAGTCCACCTAGGAAACGCTCTAAAAAAAGACACCTGAGTGCAGAAATGAAAGAGGTCATTTTGAATATATATATAAGATCGAGCGCGAGAAGAACGAGGCATCAACCATCAAAGAAATTGTTGTGAAGGTTTCTCACAAAGTTGGGGTGTGTCGCGCATCAGTGTTTAATGTGTTAAGACAATACAAAAAAAATCACACCTTTTCTGAGCCAATGACCAGTAAACATCGCAAAAGTATTGTTAAATC